CTAGTGCAAAGGCCCTATGATAGGAGAGTACCTGGTGTGTTCACAGAACAACATGAAGGTCAATGTGACTGGAGCAGTGTGAATGATGGGGAGGAGAGTAGGAGATAAAGTGAAAGAGAGAACATGGGGGAAGGTACAGATCAAATAAGACTTCCTATGTCATTAAAAGGACATTGGTCTTTATTATGAGTGAGATGGAAATTAATAAAGAATTCTGAGTAGAGGAGTGACATGATCTGACTTAGGTTTTAAAAGGGGATCATGACTGGGCACGGTGGTTCAAGCCTGTAATCCCAGCACTTTGGGAGGCCAAGGTGAGGGGATTGCCTGAGCCCACAGGTTTGAGAACAGCTTGATCAACTTGGCAAGACTTCATCTCTACAGTAAATCAAAAAATTAGCCAGGCGTGGTAGCATGTGCCTGTAGTTCCGGCTACTTGGGAGGCTGAAGTGGAAGGATTGCCTGACCCCAGCAGGTTGACGCCGGCGTGGCCGTGAGTGTGCCACTGCACTCCAGCCTGGACAATGGAGTGAGACATCAACTCAAAAAAAAAAAGGTGATCATTCTGCCTATTCTGTTGAGAATAGACTGTAGGGGGAAAGAGTGAAGGAAGAAAACTGATTAGAAGGCTATTACCAAAGTTCAGGAATTGAGTCATGGCAGATATAAATTGAATCACAGCAGTGGTTATTGTGACAGTAGGAGAATTCTAGATATATATTTCAAGGCAGATTAACACAATTTTCTAACAGATTAAATATTCTGTATGAAGAAAATAAAGTAGGCAAGAATGACCCCTAAGTTTGGGGCTGACAACTGAAAGGATGCAGTTGCCACTACCTGAGATGGGGAAGGATGCTAGTGGAGCAGGGTTGGGGGGGCAAATACTAGTTTAACTTTGAACATATAAAGTTGGAGATGTCTATTGACTTTTTAGTGGAGATATCAAGTAGGCAGTTGGGTATGAGTTTGGGATTCAGAAGATAAGTTTGAACTAGAAATATACATTTGGGTATCATTGTTATATACAATAGATAGCTTTTTAAGCCATGAGATTGGATGAGCTCATGAACAGTATGAGTATAGACAGAGAAGAGGTCCAAGGGCTGGGCCATGGGCTCTCCAGTGATAAGTCAGGGAAACAGAAAGTTATCAGCAGAAGAGACTGGGGCAACCAGTGAGGAAGGAGGAAAACCAACAGTATGGTGTCCTGGAAGCCAAGTAAAGAGTGTAGCAAAGAGTAGGGAGTAATCAACTGTGTCATAACTGTCATTAGGTCAATTAGGAATAGAGTTGAGAATGGACCACTGGATTTAGCACTGTAAGGTCATTAGTGTTCTTCAACAATGGGCATTTTGATAGAGGGGTGGGACAAAAACACAAATGAAGGGGATTTCAGAAAGACAAGGAGAAAAATTGGAAACAGCTAATGTAGATTATATTTTGAGAACTTCTATTGTGAGGGGATGTACAGAAATGCAAAGTATTAAATTTTGAAGTGTTGGAATTCCTCAGGGTGCTATATTGATTTTCTTCACTTCTTGATTTATATAATCTGTCTGGGTGGTCTCAGCTATTCTTACACTTTAAAACGATGTAAGGTTTTAAGAACAAAGGAGTCAATAGTACTAAATATAAGAGAGAGATAAAGTGAGATAAAGTAATTTAAGGACCAAAAAGTATCCATTGGATTTAGCACCCATTATTTAAGTGGAAATGCATGAGAGTGATTGACCATGGTTTTAATTCCAGTACCTTCCATGTGGAAGTGTTCCAGGAGAGGATATGCTTGAAGTTGAGTTGGAGGATAGTGTGAGGAGTCTAAGGTCAGGAAGAGTTGAACCTGACCAGAGGGCAGGCATGTGGCAAGTAGAAACGATGGATTGAAGACAGTCACACAGAGCAGACCAGTGGAAGGTTTCTGAGGTTAGTAGTTAGACTATGAATCTGTGGGCAATGGGAGCCCCAGGATAGTTTTATGGTCCCGTATATGTGACAAGCACTTGAATGAAGTGTCAGGTGGGACAGAGGGGAAAGAATTGATAGCCAAGATACTTTCTCAGAAAGCAACAAGACTTAGAAGCAAATTGGATAGTGAATAAAGAAACTGCAGAAGTCCCTGCATTATAAGAACTTCTTGCTGAGAGGAACTTCAGAAGTTCCAGGCCACTGAGTGCAAGAGAATATACTACAGACAGGCAGCACTAAGGAGTAGGGTTTATAATCAAGACTTCATATCAGGCAGGGTTGGTGGGCTATGGAAAAGATAAGGGATTGACACATCAAAATCCTGTTCTTCCTGTCCTAACCTGCTCTTCCCACTTCACCTTTACAAAGCAAAGCCTGGGGACTAACATAATGGCACTTCTGTCATGTTTTCAGCAGAGAACTCAGGGAGGCACTTCCATTAGTGTCTTCCTCACCTAAGTAATCCAAGCCTCCTTTTGACAAAACTCAAGTTCTAAAAAGCAAACAGAACACCAGTTTACTTTACACTGTGTCAAGAGTGTTATGTTTGAATTCTATTCCAAGGCAAGGTCCCTTCCCAGAAGCTACCACTTTACTGGCACTAATTGACCCATCAGCATTCTTTTTTTTTTTTTTTTTTTGAGTCGGATTCTCACTCTGTTGCCCAGGATGGAGTGCAGTGGCATGCTCACAGCCACCACAGCCTCGACCTGCTGGGCTCAGGCGATCCTTCCGCCTCAGCTGTCTGAGTAACTGAAACTATAGGTGTATGCTACCACGTCCGGCTTATTTTTATTTTTTACTTTTTGAGTTGGAGTCTCACTGTCACTCAGACTGGAGTGCAGTGGCATGCTCATGGTCACTGCAGTGTTGACCTGCTGGACTCTGGAGATCCTTTTGTCTCAGCCTTCCAAATAGACAGAACTACAGGCATGCGCTACCATGCCTGGCTAATTTTTAAAAAATTTATTGTAGAGACAAGGTCTTGCCAAGTTGCCCAGGCTGGTCTCTAACCCCTGAGCTCAGGCAATCCTCTCATCTCAGCCTCCCAAAGTGCTGGGATTACAGGCTTGAGCCACTGTGCTCGGCCCATGTCAACATTCTTAATACAAGGATGAAGAACTAAAGGACTGAGCTGTGAAGGTAAAGTGTTACCCTCTCATTCTGTGTCCCCTCTAACTCAGAATTGGGAAGGTGTGGCTACAGGTGGGGAAAGATAACAAATGTATGTGAGAGATGTCAGTCTCTCTTTTTTTTTTTATTAGAGGCAATAAAAAGTTAGAGCCTTTTTAAGCCATATATTTCTAGATTCATTTAAAGACTGCTCAACAATGTGGTCTGTATGTCATAAATGAGGCATCTGTGCCATTCTTTAGAATTTTAGAAACTGAACATCTTGTAAATTCAACTACTACACCCAATCTGTACATTGCAAGTTATAAGCCATCCTGTTAGCTTAGACTTGATAGAGACAATGAAAGCCTAGTACAGGCTGATTATTCGATAAACAGATGGTTATTAAATCAGTAGGATTCTACTTTTTTAATAAACAAGATATTTTAATACTGGCGATGCCTAAATTCATGGCTTTTGATGAAAAAAAGAATACTATCAGGAATGCATGGCTTTGTCTAATCCGACAGCAACACAGTAAAAGAAAGGTAAAGAGGGCCATCATGCATTTGTGGACACAGAGGAAATAAGAGGAAGAGACAGACACAACAGTGTTGCTCACCTAAGCACTAGTCACAAATCCAGGAATGGCCATTTGAGCTGACAAGTAAGACCTACAGGGGCCATCTTAGTCTTCATTCCCTAATTCTCCTTGTGACATGCTAGCTCTTCTACCAATACTCTGAGATGTTGGTCTTCTAGATTTCTTATTGGTCTTGGATGTCCCCTGTTGACAACCAAGTCTAAAACCAGAAGAAAGTATTAACATATATATTTTTTTAACTAGCAGAAGGGGCCAAGATAATCTGTCCAGCCAGCCCTAACTGATTCTAAAATCCCCTCAGTTATACTAAGTAGAATGTGGGTCCCTGCCAAGGCCTCATTCCATGATTAACTTATTCCTATTTAAGGTAGGAGATGAAATATTTGTCTGAAGTCACATGTCACAGGTTCATATTTACCCTGTTAAGGCGAGGTCATTTGATCTATGACCTAAACCCCTGAGAGCGTGTATCCCTTAACAAACAACTCTAATCTTTGTACTGCAGCAGTGGCTGCCTTGGTATAACACCTAGTACCACGAGAACTTTGGAAAAATAATTAATAAGTCTTGGGTCATGTGCAGAAGGACCATTTAAAGTATATAAAACCCCAAAAGAATCTGGAAAAAAGTTTGAGTCTATTATTATTGCTGCCACATTTTATTTGAAATATGGCTACCATATCTTTACAGATGTTTTAAAGCAAGTCTAGGGAGAAACCTATCTATTACTGACAAGAAAGACCTCCAGATCATTTCCATATGAAATGCATTGACTGGATGGCTACAAGTAGTTGGACTTATTCTCAATATTCCTTTTTGCCCTTCCAATAAGTTGAACCACACCTCAGTGTGTATTGCAGCCCATCAGTTTAACAGCAGTAGTTCAAGTGATGTTTGACTAGCTAGTAGCAGTGGAAGATCCTTAGCACCAAAGGTATAGTCACATGTGCCTCAGGCAGACTTGGAACGTACTATCTCTGCCATCGCCAGCACGTGGGCCAGTTATGAAAAGGAAAGACTGCAAACGATAGTGTTGAGTTATTTGTGTGCTTTGCTTCCCTCTGTACTAACACACTTGAATTTCCTACCAGACAGCATTAGAAACATGTTGTAACATTTGTACTACAACCAGTACACTGGTCTGTGCATAAAATTCAGCCTTGCCTAGCAAGAGAAAATTTTCCTGCCTTCTGTTTTCTAGGTGAAGTTTCTGTACACACATCTATGAAGTCCTTGGGTATTCTTTTGAACAAGAAGAAAACCTTCTTATACACCAAAACATTGTGAATTGTGTGGGAAAAAAGCAGAATATTACTTGGATTTGGAGGAAAGAGCGTGCAGCTTTTACAATGTATGATCTCTTTCACTACTGGCATATCTGGAGGGATTGGTGGAGGTACTATTCCCAAACCAGGCATCATTGGAGTTATTGGTGGAATTCCAGTCATCATTCCAAGAGCAGGATCAAAGTCTAAAAAAGGAGAGGAAAGAGAGAACAATAAATGAAACCAGGAAAGGCTAAGTAAAGGCAGAATGCACCTCATAAGCTTCAAACGAAAAGTCTTTTTAAGAGGCAAATATTTTACAAATATGGTACTTAGTATTCCCAGGCCTTAAATATTACAGTTGTACATTTTCCTTTTGGGATGGGGTTTTTGTTTTGTCTGGCCAGGACCTACTTAAGTCTCTATTTTCACCCCCAAGGTCATTGATAGCATGACTATGCCTTGCCTATTGATCTTGCCTCCACTAGTTCCAACACACACCCTCTGCTCCAATTTGACAAGACTTCTTGCTGCTCCTTGCACACTAGTTCTTTTTACAGTACAGCATTGTGTTAAGAAAACAGAGTTTTTGGGATCAGGCAGATCTGGGTTTTACTTCGACCATTTGCTCAGCAGGATGAACTTCTACTTCCTCATCTACAAAATAAAGTAAATATCACCTACCTTACAGAGAGCTGTGAGGAGTAAACAAAATGTGTTTAGCATAGTGCACAGCACAGAAGGTTCAACAAATAACTACTCTGTGCTTTTATTCAAGTTGTTCTGTCTGGAATCATTTGAGCCTCTGCAAATGCTCCCCATGCTTTTAGGCCTGGCTTAAGTGTCACCCGTTTTGAAGAGGCTCTTCTAGATAATTCTGGTTCGTTCTTGAATCTGTGTCTAAAAACTGCTCTGTACCCGTTGCCACTTAATTTTATTTTTCATCACCCTTTGTTTCATTCATGGATGCTTCTGGAATGTGTGGGGGCACTCAAACAAATATTTTCTGCGGGGCTCATTTATATACACAATTGGATTCACCCCAAATCAGTGTCAACAGCATTCTGGTGGCACAATCTCAGGAGATATCATGAAAGAAATACCACACCAGCCAGCTGGAGTGGTTTACTTGTCAGGCCAGTCTCCTGGAACCAAGACTTCAGGAGGATTCCATAGCCATGAGTCCTGAAGCTTCTTGGGGCATCTAGTTGACACACATGTGGGATAGAAGATTGGAGAGTGCGCCAAAGGGGAGAAACGGGGACTGGGATACACATGAGTCCAGTTTATAATTGGGGCTTCTCACTCAGATGTCACTGCCAGCCCTGGTCAGTCCCAGACACTGGAAGGGAACTCAGGCAATTTCAAGAAAGTTGTTTCTTGTAACCAGAACACAGGCAGGGCACGCTTTGGACTTGGGACACCTGCGCTAATGACACTGCCTACCTAGCCAGTGTTTGGCATTGGGGGAGGGGAGGGGTTTAGAAAACATCAAGATAGGCATTCTAAAGCACAGGGACCCCTGAGGTGTGGTTCTGAGTATAAGGGCAGTACTGACTTCATTGCTTAAATTGTGTCTCTATATCAAAATGCAAGTTCTTGGAGAGAAGGGAGTACACTCTACTCTTTTGTTTCTCTACCTCCCAACCCTATCCTCACTATAGAATCACACAGTGGCCTGCAAACAAAGAACATATTGCATAAGGAATTTTGGTAATGCAGGGACAGTTGCAGTAGCAGCAGCAGGCTCTACTCCCCAAGACTTCACCATGCTCACCACAGGCCAGAGGGGCAATGCTTGTAAGTATGTCCTCAAAGTGGCACTGAAGTTCCCTGGCTAGCTCTGTAAGATGCTGGAGAAGGTACACCTAAAAAAGCAGGAAGAACCTGTGATTCCCACAGAATTAGAACTTCAAGTCCAACAGGCCCAGTAAGAGGTAGACCTGTGTGTGGGCAAATGAGCAGGCAGGTGGCATATTGGCATCTCCAATTGCAAAGCCAGTCCAAGCAAACTTGGGCATTCCTCATCCTCTTATATGCCTGTCATTCTGAGGTGTCAAAACCATGGAAATGTTCAAGAAGAAAAAAAATTTCTCCCAGGAATTTTTATTTTTATGAAAATGTTCACTTTTAGCCCTCATATGTCATCTCAACCAATATGCATGTGCATGTGCATGCATGTGCACATGCACATACATACACACACACACCCTCCTTCCCTTCCTCCCTCCTATGGTTCTTGTCTCTCTACCGTCCTCCATATAGTAGTTATGTGACCTTGAAGAAAGTGGCTTAATATCTATGTGCCTTTTTGAGGGGGTAAAAGTGGGAATAAATAATGACATTTAGCTCAAAGGATGAAAGAACAGAACAGATATAAAGACCTTTGGCATAACAGACAGTCCTGATAGGTAAGTTTCCTTCCTTCTATTCAAAGTGTGCAGACCCAAACTGATAAATTCACTGATGCAGGCATTCATTCCCACATTCCACAAACATTTCTGATAGACTTCCTATAAGTAAGGCTCTACGCAGGCATATGTGTGTGTTGAGGGGGTGTCTAGCTTTCTCTTTCAATCTTGGAGAATTTAAGGCACCTGATACCCTGTCATCCTATGCTATAGAAAAAGAGCACTGTGGTTAAGAATGCCATTTATGTCTGGAAAATTTTATTCCTCGTTTGAAGATTTTGGAGAAATTGTTAACATTATTTTACCCATTTACAAACTGTTAATTTTTGTTAGGAAAAGATCAGATTAGACTGCGTGCCAACTAAACAAATCCATCTATTTTCCCCTCCTGCTGAAATGTTTGTCTTCCTTTTATTGTTCTGCCTGCCTCCTCATTGTTATTCATATAGCTCTGTCACTCACAACTCTACCTTACCACAGATTACAGAAATATCAGTTCTTTAAACAAGTTCTGCCACTTTGATTGAAAAAGGAAATGACTGTCTTCAGGTAATGTCTACTAATAAGTGAAGACAAACAAAAAACAAATACATGGGATAAATATATCTCCTGACTGATATGCTCACCACTCTGTTGTTGGTATGATTACATTAATATTTTATAAATTCATTTAAAAGCAAATGTATTCATGACATATGGCTAAAGCCAGAGTAGTTAAACTCCCCTTCCTTCTTTTGTTCAATATGTCAAGAGTTCCATAGGTTACATTGCCCAGCAGGGCTTGCTAGAGGGCAGGTTGTACATGACATTTCAAAGGTTTTTATCACATGATTATTTCTTTTGTTTATCTTTAACCATTAAGTACCAAAGTGGACATGGATTCCCAATGTCAACCAAGCAAACCATATGAACTTATGAGCCTTATATATGTATTGCAGAACCTGAAAAATCAAAGAAGTCCAATAATTCAAAACACACAGGGAATAGAACACCAGAGAAATTATCTCCCTTTTCTAGGCCCCTGGTCTGATGTGAGGAGTACTATTAACAAGTATGTACTATTATCACTTATATTAGGAATTCATACTTCTGAAGACTTAAAACCATATGAAAGGGTTATGGATAAGGCCAAGGTATTCCTCCAAGGTCCTTTTCATAACAAATACCCTGTTCTGTTTTGTTTTTGCCATCTCTTCTAGCACTCCTTTCCCATAGCCTTCTTGACTCTTAGCACAGCCACTGCAACAAGAGACATAAGGTATTGATCTGTATTTCCTCTTCTGATTCGTGTACTTCTTAAAGTCCCAGACCATTGGATTTTCTGCAAATTCTGTGTTAGTTGCTCCTCAGAGTTGGGGCTCTACCACATGATTTCAGGTAATGTTTCATATAGCCTTAAGACTTCCTCTTACCTAGCAACTTGTGCTTACTCAACCTGGCAATTTTATTTATTTTATTTTGTAGAGATGGGATCCTGCGATGCTACCCAAGCTGGTCTTAAACTCCTGGCCTCTCAAAGTGCTGGGATTACAGGCATAAGCCACCGTACCTGGTCCCTACCTAGCAATATTATTATTTTTCATTCTCTGTACACATGTGAGTCAGGGAGTTATAATAGAGGCAAATACCATTTCTGCACTGCTACCTAGTCATTCATATGTTCACACATTTAATATTTTATGCCAGGCCCTGTGTCAGGTGTTGGGGTTGAAGGAATGAGTAGGACAACATTCTTGGCCTCATACTCTAGTTTGGAAACAGCCATGCAAACAGTTACAACGTGTTAAGCTCTGTGCTAAGCATTTTATATAACCTCATTGCAATAGATCTGTGAGCTAGGTTCTGTTTTCCTTCATTTTATAGATGAAGACATTGAGGTTCAGAGGGGTTTAGTTACTTGCCCAAGTTTATACAGCCAGTAAGAGGCAGACCTCAGATTAAAATCTAGCTTGGTCTAATTCTAATCCTATTAATCACTACATTGTCTCTCAATGTAGTATGACAATTGTTTTAGTGATTTAATTGCAGGAGTAAAGTAAAAGAGGTATGTTGAAAAACATGGCATATAAGCAACAAAATGATTCCATACAATTCTTTTCTCCCAGTGTGGTAGATTAAAAGTGGATACAAATTCTTTGATATGCTTCCCATCAAGAGGTAGGGTCCATATACCCTCCCCAACTTTGAATCTGGATGGGCTCTAGAACTGTTTTAACCAATAGAATATGGCAGAAGGGATACTGTATCCTCTCCCAGGCCCAGGCCTGAAAAGAGACACAAGTTCTACTTTTTATCTCTAGGAACATGTGCTATGGGAGCTTTTTGAGTAAGACATCTGACTACTGTGCTGGAGAGACCATATGGAAAGGGACTTAGAGTAAATGGGAAAAAAGGATCCAGGCAAGTCCAGTCTTTTTCTGTCCTTATCAAGGTGCCATGCCTATGAGTGAAGTCTTAGAATCAGCCTGCCATAACTGAGGTATCCCAGTTGATACCATACGGAACAGAAGAATTCCCCATTTGAATCCTGCCTGAATTCTTCATCCAGAAAATCTTACAATATAATACAATTATTGTGTCTTAAGTCACTAAATCCTAAGGTAGTTTGTTATACAGCAATAGATAAGGAGAATATCTAGCATGGCTGGAATGCAGAATGACTGGTTAACAGAGTTAAATATTTTCAAGCAATGAAAACAGAAAGTATGCTAAGCACCCAAGCTGGATTGACCATGCTTTTTCTCAGATTATTATATAGGTGCTTTGGGATCCTGGAGGATCCAGAGCAATCTAGG